TTAAGTTGTTTAAAAAATGTTTTTCAAAATCTCGAAGTTACGGCTCAATCCAGATGGACAGTTTTTTTCTTCAATTTAGAAAATAATTGTACGTATTGTTTAGGCGCAAGTAGTGTTCACAGACGGACGTTTCGAAAAAAAATCTTTTTCGGTGTCAGGGATACCAAAACGTGTATTTCCGTTGAAATCTCGAAATCGATTTTCCGCAGCATTACATAATTTTCCCTATACTACGTAAATTTTCCCATTTATAGGTACATATACGCGAAAGTAAAAATGAGTTTCGCTGACGACAAAACTACTATTACTGCACTTTTTCTGTTTTTTTTATCATAACATTATAGTAATACTCAAACAAATGCTTATGTTACAGCTTCTATCCAAATATAATTAATAAATTAGCGTGTTAGTGTTCACATTATTCAAAATTGGTGGACAAAGTCCGAAGTTAAACCAGCTTTGAAGGCTAGGTACCTCGGACAAGCTGGTTTGCAGGTTAGTTAGTACGAGGTGGTTTTTAGAGAAGATGAAGTATGTTCTCAATAACTAAATTTTTGATTTAAGGAATTATTTCACAAAAAAATCTAATCCGATTAACAGAAAGCAAGGGCTAATTTGGGTTCGAGTGAAAATGCAATCACAAATTCGTAGAAAATCTCTATAACATTGATAACCCTGCTTTGGAATATTTAAAAATTGACAAAGGTAAACAAATATTATTAGTAGATAGGAAATATTATTGTAAGAATGTTAAAGAACAGTAAAACTTCGTCCTAAATGGCAATTATTTAAAGTACGTGTACTCATAAATATAATGTGAACAACTATATTATTCGAGGAAGGCTGTGTCGTTAAGTTTCATAAGTAGTTTAGTGTCTCGCATAACATTTGCCTTGTGTTGAGGTAGAATAATTATTGTAATTCTGTAGCAAAAACCGGAGATTTTTCGACAAATAATTCGTTTTGAGGGCTTTTGATACCGTAGAAGTGAATCATTCAGGATCCTAATTGTAGCAAAAACTTCCTCTAATATATTTGTTTAGTCAGAATCCACGTGTTGTGGGTCCTTGACACAGAAATTTGGATTACGGTAAAAAGTCTGTGCCTCTGTTATCAGTCTGTGAACAACCCTAGTTGCTAATCTACAGGCAGGATTTTCACTTAAATTGATACAATCGATCTGGTCGATGTCACAAAAAAATGCGGTTTTTACAACATAAAACTATCAAAAATACTTTTTTAGAGAAATTTCTTAGAATTTTGTTAATGAATCCGCAAAATAATTATAATTTTCCAATAGGAGACAGGTAGAACTCTTATGTGCCTTGTCTGGAAGACCGGGAGAGCAAATGTGTGAAGGACAGACGGACGCAGGTTACTTTACTAAGGATGTACTCTTTTTACTTTCCCGTATACATACATATATACTATGTAAAATTCGTAGTAAAGGGAAAGTAAAGCAAAAGGACGAGGTTTTACTGTTATTTAATATTCTTAAAACAATATTTCCATTTTATTTGGAAACAAAAAAATTAAGAAAATTTACTTTGGGCGGCGATATGGCAGCTGGAATGAGTCATGTGGCAATTCCGAATAGCTAGCTGAAACCAAAGAAATAGAAAACTAATATGGGAAAGTCTGTACTATTATGTAGCACTAGTTTTATCCTGACGTCCTCGTAACCTTAGTTTAAGACATGCCACAAAAGCCCTGCGCAATGATCTTTCTTGCTGTCCTCTACATAATTTGGGTGCACGCCGTCCTGGCATCGCCCAGCGGGAGAAATCGAGGGGCCAGCGCCGCTAAATGCTTAACAGTCGACTCACAATTTCTTCGCAGCCACCTGCTAATCACCACTGCACCCTCGTCCATCCCGGCCAGAAAACACACACAGCCGGCCCCGCGTACATTTACTCCACTCCAATTAAAACATTGCGAATTTACGGCGACCAGCTAAGACGATTGATCAGTGATCAATCGGGAGTTTCGTAACTACTTTATTTCTGATATGAAGCTCCCGATTGGATAACCGCATCCCAGCTGACCAAACGACAATTCAAACTACGTTTTAATCGGAGTACATTCTCCGACATAAATTTGAAAGCATTTGATTGCGCATCAGTTGAGGCATGTTTGTTCAATGGAGAGAGGGATATTTGCACAATAAATACAAATAACGCTTCCGAATGGATAACCGCTTCCCAGCTGACCAAAAGCCAATTCAACCTAAGTTTTAATCGGAGCACATTCTCCGACATACATTTAAAAGCATTTGATTGCGCGTCAGCTGAGGCATGTTTGTCCAATGGAGAGAGGGATATTTTAAATGAAGCTCCCCGAATGGATAACCGCGCCCCAGCTGATCAGCTCTCAAATTTTAATATGGGTGTGACCTCTCCCTCGGGCCACATCCTGCCGCGCGGATTAAGCGGGGGGGGGGGGGTGACGCCTGTAGACTTCACTCCGATTAGGAACAATAACTCAGCCTGGAAATCCGGAATTACGATTAGTGGCGCCATCTGGTGGTTGCGATGGGAAGTGCGAGAACTCGCACGGGAATGTAGCTGGGCCTTCACAATCCGGTGTGTGTCATTGGTTGCAGGACGAACCCAATGTACATTAATTATTATTGAGCGGGGAAATCTGAAATTGAGCCCACAATACACTGGGCTTTACAGAACTTCAGAATGAAAAATGTAAACCGTTGGGCGTCTCAGACGAAAAATGCGCTAACACGCTTCGATTTATTGTTTCCGGGCGCGCCAATTGCTGAAGTCCCGTCAGTGTATTATATGGTTTTATCGAGGGACACCTACGACACCCTCCTAGGTCAACACTACGGAGCCGTAGAACACCCTGTTGTAGTGGGAGCCATTGGCGAGTGATGCGACGGCGCCATTGCTACCATAATAAATTCACCTCTTGGGATAAGGTAAATTAATTTCGAGAACGCACTGACGCTAAGGCTATTTCAAGTAGTGCTGCGTGTAACTTCGTTCACGTCGGCGGAGAGTACCGTCCGAATACAGGTGTCCATAGAGTATAATTTTGTTATTAAACCCCTTCCCGATCCTGCCCCTATATGGCACCACGCCAGCTGCATCAAACCCAATCACGGTGTGGCATTTTCAAACTCCAAGTCGGGTTTATCCCCCTGCTGCTCGGACTCTCTTTCGAAAAGCGCACACTACCTGGTCGCAAATCAACACCGCCTCTACAGAGTAGAGGTGTCCGTGTCATGACCGAGTACCCGGTTGTTTCCGGATCCACGTAGCGGCGCGGGAGAGGGATGCCGAGTCGGTGACAAATCAGAGGGTTTCCATGGCGAGGACGTCCGTGCTAGGGTGCACGCATATGCGCCGACAAAACATATGCACTGATCGACTTGATTTTTGGGAATGCTTTACATGAATACTCAACACTATCAAAATTTTTCACAGAACAGCGTAAATGATGTTAAAGAAGGTGCAGGTCTTATTTCGTTGAAATCCCTCACTTTCCGAAAATTTAATTTTTCTGGCATCTTCCTACAACTCCAGTATTGAAGAGACTTTTTTTGCCCGAATGATCTCTGATAATTAAAGACAGACCATGAAATAAGGTCATGTACAATGTTTCAAAAAAATAAGTAGATTTCGCGTAATTCTACCTGGAATATAGGTAATTTTTTACTTAAAAACACATTACGTTTATTTAAAATTTCGTCCCTTATCTATCAAAAGACAGGAAAAATGTGCTGGTAGTCTCATTTCTAGAGAACTCACAGTACTTTCGATAGCGGTGAAAATTTAACAATTCAAAATTACAAAATTGAAGATATTAATGAAGTATTAAGTAAAAACTAAGCTCTTTCAAAAAGGACATGTACAATTGTTTGAAAAACAAGTAGTTTTCACAAAATTTGTGCTCGATCTTAATGCAATTTATAAAAAAAATATTTTATCGAAAACCACATTTATTTATTTTTCTTATCGTTTATAACGAACGACGGTAAAATGTTGGTGTAAGTCTCATTCCCGAAAACCACTCTATACTTTCGAAAATTGCTAAAAAAACACAAAATTGAATCAAGAGATTTTTACCTTTTACAAAATCTGTTTTAAAAATCAGTACTAAATGTCATGTACAATTATTTGCAAACACGAATATATTACGCCTAATCACTGCTTGAAATAAACGCAATAATGTTTTAAAAACAAACATTTTCTCAAAAAAATGTACCAAATTATTTCTTTATTTTTTCGTGGATAAAACGAGGGACGCTTAAAAGATTGGCGCAGGAGCAAAGTATGGGTATTCCACGGTTGAACTGGCTCCTCTCGAGGCTCCGCGATTTTTTTTTTAAGTTGGGGGTATTTAATATTTACATTAGCGACGAGTTGTTCACACTTTATTTATGAGTACATGTGCTTTAAATATCATATAATCGAATAGATACGCTCAAACGCCATTTTCCCAAAAAATGCTACTAAGTCTCAAACTTCTTCAAACATTTCGAAGGATAATGCTAATTGCACTATTTAATACGACGTAATGTTCATGTCTGTGTATTTTTTTTTTAATTACACAAATATAATCTTGAAAGATCTCTCGCACCGTATTATGCAGTTTGGGGTACTTTTTCCCCAAAATTACACAAATTTAACTTTTTTTAAAAGATTTCTCGGACCAATTTCCCACAATTTGTAAACACTATTGCATTTGTGAGAGTAAAAGCCTTTCAAATAATTTTTATTAAAGTTTTTCGAAACCTCAAAAATTTCCAGTGAAAAAGAGCTTCAAATTTCGAATTTACAGTAGCGCTAAAACGCCATTTCCCAAACCCGACTCCCCAGTTTTCAATGACAATTGTAATTTAGGACGAGGTTTTACTCATCTTTAATGTTCTTTAAGTAATATTTCGGTTCTACTACTAGGAAACCGAAAAAAAAAATACTTTGGGCGGCGAGTACATATGCTTTAATTAATGCCATATTAAGTTTCTCGAAAACTCGGGTTTTCCGTGAAAGCGAGCTCAAAACTCCGCATTTTCATAAACACTCAAAAACCATTTACTTAAAAAGGGCTCCAATTTTTTCTTTAAACTTTTCGTACAGACACCGCTAATTACAGTTTAAAGTTGACAAAGTAAATCTTGCAGTATTCTTTTATTTTTGAAAAATTATACAAAGTAATTTTTTAAACTCACACGCCGATATTATAACCATTTCCAGCGATTTGTATACATTATTGCATTTGCGACTGAATATGCTTCAAACGAAGTTTTTCGTAAACACAAAAATACTTGTGTAAATGAGGGGTGGGCGGCATCGGTGTTCAACAGACGGAAGGGCGGACAGACAGACCGACGTTTTGCAATTGTTTTCCACATCAAGGACCCACAAAACGGGGATTCTGGCTATACATGTCAAGAGAATTTACCCCTTAATTAGCAACTGGATTTATCCACTTTTTCGCTATCAGCGCCCGGCAATGAATTTTTTCTGTCGAAAGTCCGCAGTTTTTTCGCGCAGCAATACATAACTTTCCCTATTCTACGTATATTACTGCGTAAATACGGGGAAATCAGAATCATTTAATGTGTATGAACAACGCTAGTGGCTGAACCGTTTATCCGATTTCCTCAGAATCGATCTTCATCACAAGGCTCAATAGGGCCATCGCTTGCGCAACCCACGAGTAGAGGGTCTGTCGCCGAGCGCTGCGCTGCATTAGAGGGAAATACCAATTTTCTGTCTTCGTCTGCCATTAGCTGCAACTTAATTGTAAGAATTTTGGGTGTTATTGAAACTACACAAGTTCAGTCAATTATTGACGTTATTGAATGCATTATTTATGTTTGGGGAATTTGTTTCCATTTGATATTAGGTTTGCCGATTCAAAATGTACACTCGACGACTTATTTATGTAAAGTTGTCCGTTCTGGAAGCCCCTTTCTGGATCTCATGGTGGGGGCATATTCCCGGCTATAGTTACAGAAAAGTTAGTCTCAGAGCACTGTTGTGAATAAAATGTGGAAGGTTCTTTCATTATTACAATATTTACCATGGTAGTGAAATTTTCGAAATAAAATAATTTCATTTTTGTAAAACGTGTTTAAACAATAGTGCTTATTGCAAAGTGCTGGAATGCGATCAACGTGGAAATCAAAGTCATAACCACATGTGCAGGTGAATATACCTGATATGGACACTACGCATAACATTAGGAGGGTAATCTTTCAATATCGACTTTTATTAAACTTAGTAATGAATTGTTAACATTTTATTATATATTAAGTGTCTTGAATTTTGGAAATTACTTTTCCATGAATCGCTGGAGATGTAGCCTCCAGTTTGTTGGAGCACCATCTGCCACTGGGCTTGAGATGTAAATATGATGTTATTTCGCTGAGTTGCCATTCACATGTTCTCACAGAAGTGAGCAGATTCCCTCTAATTTGCTACAAAAGTGTAGTAAATAAAGGTTCGTTATCATAAGGGACAAAAGCCAAAATATTCAACAATTCTTAGCTTTTTCTTTTCACTTTCTGATTTAAGTTATAAAGATTTCCCTTAAAAAAAAGTACATATTCAAAAACAGAAAATGGGAACCATTTCAAATTAATTTAATTTACAGTAATCAACAAACAAGACACAAAAACATGTCCATTCCAGAAATAGACAGTTTCTTCTGTAAGAGCCCAACAAGAAATTAGTTGCATGCTACAGACCTTTTGACTTTTAAAAGGTTAAGTTGGTTACATTAAATACATATTTTTAAGCTTATATATGAATACTTTCAGTATGTTTTTGTACGATGTAAAAAATTATTTCCAATTGGGAAACATTAAATGTGAAATGATTCTTTCTAATATACTAATATTATACTTACAAGAAAGATTTCTTGACTAATATGAAATGATGTCACAACTTGGTAAATGTTTGAATAATTACTGTAGCGTAATATTTCTCAAACATTCGGACACTAAAGTTTTTCAAAGCAAAACATGAATCAGCTTCATGACACAATTAAACTAAAAGAAAGAAAATTTGGTCAAAAGAATAAAATTATAGTAAAGGATACTTGTCATACAAGATACAACAGCATAATACACAACAGCGATCAATTTAGCAATGTAAGAGCAACAGTAATAATTATAACAAAAGCAACATAACTTTTGTCAGCACCAATTTATACATAAACAACGCCTCAACCCACCTCAACTTTCCAATGTAAGTCATGACTGCAAGCAATATAAAGTACAGATACTGCCTTTTTTTTTTTAACGATTGCACTATTAATATAGAGACTATATAAAGAGAAATTATTCATCACTTCTTATACTAAAGTGAAAAGTTGATATCTAAAAATATTCCACAAAAATACTACAAATCATATATAAAACTATGCATATTAATCCTCGTGGAAAATGTTAGGATTCTGGAATGTGTTTACTTTAAATGCGTCACAGCAGGATTATTGGAGAACATTCTAAATCCAATCCAAATTAAAAGTGAAACAATGCCAGTACAACACAAAGCTGCAAATACTCGCAATTTCCAATGAGCACGATATCCTCGTAAAATAGATATGATTTTAATAACTTGTTGTCTGGTATCTTCAACTGTCCCAGAGTTTTCAACAACAAAATGTGCTTTCTCACATTTGCTCTCCAGGGGCATTTGGGCATTTATACGTTGCTTTGCTCTCGATTCTGACACTGAGTTACGATCCATCAGCCGTTGTAATTGAAGATCTTCTTCACTGAAACAAACAAGAATTAACACAAACTTATTATGAAAGATTAATTATTATATAATATTCAGACATTTTATTGATGTTTCACCTCATTTTAAAGAATAATGATGTAAATAATGTTTAATATTGAATAATCAAATAATGCTATCAAAGGACTAAAAATGGAGAAGGCACAAATTTATCTAACTGTGGTTTTAAATTCACTAATCAATCAACTTACCATGTAACAACTATTATTTTATACAAGTACTCTAACATACTTCCACTTTCAAATAGCAAAGGCAAATCCATAACAATAAATTGATGACCTGAAAATAGAAGATTCTGGAGAATAATGTTATTCTAACATCTGTTTTTCAATCAAATGATGCCATTGTTTGTATTGTTGAAATAAGGATTTTCACCTTGAAAAAGGCACCGAAGAGCTGCCCAGAACATTTCTTTATGAATTTCAGGGTGAGTAATTTCATTTAGTTTCCTTCTCTTTTCAACATCACTGAATATTATATCACCAAGTGCCTGGCGATTTAATGTTCCATCCTTGTGGAAAACTTCTTCACCAAATTCAACCTTAATTTTCCTCCAGGCTTTTCTACCAGGTTCAACAACTAGGAAAACAGATGAGTAATCTAATGTCAGTACCATAATGAATAAATTTTATAAGTTTAATTCCTAAAGTATCAGAATGAAAGAAGAAAAAAATAAGAAATTATGACTCCTAGCCATTTCACAAAATTGACGATGACCTATAAGTGGTTTAAAGAAGTTGAAAAAGATTCGGAGGGTACTCAAAATTACACCTGCAGATGTTACTCAGCGATCACCAAACTTCAGAAATTCACAGGATTGGAGGACAAACCAAAAAAGAAGATAGGGGTCATTTGGTCTGAGGAGAGGAAAGAAACATCGGGCCAAAAAAAAGAAAGAGGATATGGAAGCAAAGAAATAAAGAAAAGAGGCAGAAAGTTGAAATAATAGTTCACAATGGCTCATTGGAAGAAAGAACGAAAGAAAGAAAGAAAAAAAAATACATGATTTCTCTCTTTTAATGTTGGCAGTCAGAAGTCTTTTCATACACTATTTATCAACATCCTTATTGGACAACTAGTAATAATGCACTACACTTGTTCCAAACAGCAAAAACGAAATACCACATAATAGTAGGTATTATGAATCTCACTCAAAAGAATAATAGCACACCTTTTCTAGCCAAAACATCTGCATCAATCACTGGGACACCATGTTCTCGGAATACTTCTGATACTGTGGACTTGCCGGTGGCAATGCCACCCGTCAATCCAACAATAAACATCACGAAGATCGTCACGTTTGACTGTTCACCTCACGCATACAAGTATTCCCCAATTTCAATTCACGTATACACAAGTATGTAACACACATCCCATATTCATTAACAATCAACACATATCTGCCTTATCTCTCGACGATAACCACATCTGACCTGCATTTGACCCGATCTGACCCGATCTGACCCACCTGACCACGACGAACCAGTTAACATGTAATACTGTACTACTTTCTATATTGAACTTGCTATATGATTCCTTGACGCATTTTCCGCAGTGTAGCCAATCATCATTCGGGACCGACCTGACGTAAATGTGAGGGAATTTTAAACGTGGTAAGATCACTACGATGTTCGGTAGGTGAGACAGGTCAGACAGACTCATTTATATTGGCTTCTGACGATTGATCAGCTGGGATGCTGTTATCCAAACGGGAGCTTCAATACATTTAGGTACGTATTGAATCTCCCGTTAATTAAATTCCAACAGCGTCCAGCTGATCGAACGTCAGAAGTCACTTAAGTTAAATCTGAGTGTACGTACTTACTTCGCCCATACTACCAGTGGGGTGGTACGATAAACCGCATATACCCTCCCTTGTTTATAAAATTCAGAAGAAAATCCAAATACTGAAAATCGCGAAGGGATGCTATAACAAATATTAAGCTGATGAGTAATAAAAACAGATTCTCACATTTGTTGAAATTGAATAAATGTTGTCATAACATTCCTCGTGTACTGTTATTTACATCTGAACGTTTTCTTGAGCTCTGGAATATCTACCCCATTCTATACTAACATTTGTTAAATTAAGAATAAATGTTAGCGACGAGCGTTGTTCACAAAACCTCATTATGAGAAATTTTCGGTTCCATATAATAGAAATTATTTTACATCGATAAACGAGCGTCAGGTTTGATGTAAAATACAGTCATCGAAATAACCAAACCCCTACCCCTCTCAGATCCAGAGAAATGGGGGCTCAGGAATATGTGAGCGAATAATACTTTCATTCCAACGAGTCGGATATGTGTTTGTTCGTAGGTGGCATTGGCTGAGTCCTGAAAGTCAGGTGCCATGCAATAGTTTGCGGTAAAAGTTTACCTTCTAATAGTCATGATTAGTTGTGGGGAAAATACTGTGTGAAACTCGATAAAATAAGGATTATTAATCAGCAGAGGCGCCACTTAATTTTCAATTTGAAAGCACGTTTTTGTTTTTGAAAATCGTGAGGATATTTTATTGTCCTTGCACTTTGTTCCGAAATTGGTGTGTCGCTAATCACAAATTAAATTCTGATAAATCAATATTCTCTGATGGTTACTGCTAGTTCGCTGTTCAGAAACTTAAATAAATAAAATAATGTAAAGCGTATCGCAGCACATTAATGCGAACGTCCCAATTCCACCAGCTCAGGCAGCTAGGTCGAATTCAGTCGCTATCTGGAGGAGAATTTTAGCTGCTGCCAGCTGCGCTGATCGGTAGTTTTCCGTGGTTTTTCTGACCAATTTCAAGCGAATGCTGAAAAGGTACCCTGATAAACGGGCCACGGACCGCGCGCGATCTTTCCTTCCTCTTCCATGTCGTATCCTTACCCCTTTCTTACACTCACACACACACTTACATGCACTACACTACCACATATGCCTGGCAGGGGCTTAGAGTTTGTCCTTGTTGGGGCGGTGCCCGCTGGTGGGAGGTTTTACTTGCGCAACTTTCCTTGGACGATGGATTGAAGAAATGCGGGTATCAGTTCCGAAATCGGCCACTAGATTTTATGAAGCCATGCCAATCTCTGGGGAATCAGTCGTGCCTTCGCATCGTTCTCAATTATTTGCGTTCTACCTTTCTCAGTTCGAGGTATCTCCTGTGATGGATCTTCACCTGCTTCGGCCATTTCTTTAGATTTTTTTGGAGAAAATCACGGACAGAAGTTCTCATCTTCAACAGAAAATAGTTTATATTTCGCGCCAGTGAAGATGTGTTTGAAATGTTGTCATCAGTGCTCGCTGCGAGCTTTTGCCTTCCACTATTTATTGTGACAGAGAGGGGAAAGCAAGGTCATCATTCAAGAAAAGTTGCGCGAGTAATACCTGGTTGTTGGAAACCCCGTTAGCACGGCGGCGTTAGCCTAGGTCGGTAGCGGATCGAGTCGGTCGGTAGCGAGAGTTAGCGATCACCGCCATATCTCGAGTCAAAACATGCACTACACTTAATGGACTGATGAGCTTCGCAGTTGACTCATCTGGAATCACTAACAATCAATCAGCAGCTCAGGCCAAGACCGAGTGCCGGTATTGGTCCAAAATACTCCCGAGTCCCTGGATGTTGATTTTGAAATACGAGCAATCGTGCGAAGTAGCGTGAATCTGTATTATTTTCCATTGCTTTGTTTTTACTGTATCACAAACTTCTTACGTTATTTAAAGAAATAATATTTTAAAACTGCATCAAAATACGACTTTTCAACAGAAAAACTTGTGCTGTGGGTCCCTTAAGGAAAACGGAAAAGTGAATGACTGTTGTTTTGCTTTGTTCTTTTACTTTGTAAAATATTTCCACTATCACGTTTTGTAGTCAGAATCCACGTTTGTGGGCCCTTGAAACCGAAATATTGCTTTATAATAAAAGTCTGTATATAAATTATAGCGGCTAAACCGTACGCAAGATTTTCACCTACATAAATATTTCCAGATAAATCTGCTTGATGTCAGCCACTTGAATTCAAAGTCATATTTTCATTTTTCGGGAATACCTGGTGAAGTCGTAAGAACATTTTCAATTAAAAAAAAGTTTACTTTGCCGTATACGTAAGTATATACAGAGTATACACTATAGAGTATTCACTATAGGTAGTATAGTGAACGTTATGTAATGCTGCGGAAAATCGATTTCGAGATTTCAACGGAAATACACGTTTTGAGGTCCCTGATATCGCAAAAGTGTTGTTTTTTTTAACGTCCGTCTGTCCTTCCGTCCGCCCATCCGTCTGTCTATCTACCTGCCCGTCCGTCTGGTGTATGTGGACACTACTAGCGCCTATACAATGCGTAGGATATTTTCCAAATTGAAGAAACCCCTGTTCACCTGTCTCGAGTCGAAACTTTTGAGTTTTTGAAAAACATTCTACAAATATTTGGGGGTACTTTACTTTAACCCTCCGGATATTTTCAAAACTTTCTCAAAAAGGCTTCAAATATTTTTTAAAGTTTCTTGTAAGACTAGAGCAACATGCACTTACAAAAGAGGCATAGGCCCGATTTTCACAGCTACCTCTAAATTTTCAAAAATTTCAAATTTTTTCGGCGTCTTTCTACGACTGTAGTAGTAGTTTTAAGCGCAATATTGCGAACAAAATGTAAAATTTAAAAAAATTACAAAAACCAAATTTTCTCAAAAACGGCTCCAATTTTTTTCTTTGGACTTTGGTAGGGATAGCGCTAAATGCACTCCACAAGATGACATAAACGCCACATTGCTATATTCTTTTGTTGTTTTTAAATTACAAAAATTAATTTTTCTGACTTGTCTCTCAAGTCGTTAATATTTATATTAGCGGCAATTTGTTCACATTATTGTATTTATGAGAACATTTCTAAACTTTTCTTCAAATATTTAGTGAACATTCAACACTCAAGAGTATGAACAATTTAAAAAATTAATTTTACAATTAATTTTCTGAAACGCTCGTATAATTCATTTTAATTTGCAGACTGCGCAAAAATGGTATGTTCCTGAAACATTTGTGTTTTTCTTCATTTACCACGGTTAATAAATTTGGATTCTGAATAACAAACACATTAATTTAATAGTTTTGTAGTGTGTTCTATTATTTGTAATTTGAGAAACGTGAGAAAAATGGAGTTGAGATTGTCTACCTTACAACAGCGCCACTTATACTCAAGATGTTTGAGATTTCTAGTAATTTGTGGAGAATCCGTACGTAATTTGTTCTGCTCACGCATTTTAAAAGGACACTGTCGAGTTTCAACTGAATAACAGTGAACCTACATATTTTACCTGAAATGAGAAGTAATGTTGTTCTAGATTAGAACATTCAGATTCTTCTTTTATGTAGAGAGAGGTATTTTATATCAAGATAAACGTGTTTTAGTTGAATTATGGAAGGCAAAGTTGGCTCACAGCTTATTAAATATGTTTACTATTAATAAATGGAATTCTCTTTAGCATTATACTTATTTTTCCTTGTATTAAACATGGACAAAAATTGCACCGAAACACAAATGTGACGCAGGCAAACGCCTATGCAGCAATCGACCTAAATGTGATGTCATTAGTTTGTTCCGAGGCCTTCTGTAGAGGCGGTGTTGTTACACATCAGTATGGTGGCGTTCAAACTCCCGATTGGATGGAACTATCAACGGCTGATTTACTTCAAGTGCATTTCTGAATAAATTCAAGAATATTTTATTGCATTACATAAAGCTTCCGTTCCTGTGACAACTACAGTACCGACAGCGTGTAAGCAACCCTTGACAGTTCTCTTGCTACTTTCATTTCTTTCGTTTCTTTCTCACAGCCAGGGTTCAGCGTTGCCGACACGATGGAAATCGCGGAGGCGATAAGGTTCGTTCGTTCGTTAATTTCTTTTTTCTTTGTTCCTTCCATTAATTTATTTGTTTGTTTATTTAGTTACGTAAAAACTGTTCAAAACTCTGTGTGATGTGCAATGGGGAGACGTTAATTTGAAGTTACATTCAGCTGCGGCTATGGTAAATATTATGAACATGAAATCAAGACCTGTTGTCACCTGTCAGTAAGTTTGAATGTTTTGAAATTAAATTTATCAGCCATGTAGGTGGTCCCATGAACGTAGTAATGTGTGGCCATAGCGCATCGAACAGTCCAAGTCGCTTACGCAGCCGGTACTGTAAGTATTACTCGCGCAACTTTTCTTGAACGATGATCTTGATCCCCCTCCCTTGTGCAATAAACAGTTGAAGGCAAAAGCTCGCAGCGGGCACTGATGACAACCTTCCAAGCATTAAAACTTCGTTGGCGCGAAACAGAAGCTAGTCAAAGCCAGTTGCTTTCATAGTGCAGAACCCCTGTTCAGATTTATTGTCAATATCGAAAGAAATAGCTGAGTCAGGTTCAGGTCCTTCAAGGGAGTCACCTAAAACTCCCGAAAAAAATCAAGCACAAGATGCAGTTTTGACTTTCATTTCACAGACGTTGGCATTACTTAAAATACTCTAGTGGCCGACTTTGTAACTAATACCCCCACTCCACCCGAAATCGTCAATCATCGTTCAAGAAAAGTTGCCCGAGTAATAGAACACTTTCGATCTGTACCGTTCTGTACTGTTCGATCTTCCTTATTCGCTCTAGGGAAGCCACTAATAATTAGGTTAAACACATTGTTGTCATTACAAAGGAACAGACAATAATGGCCTAAAGAAATATATCAATTGTTTTCCAATGCAATAATTGTTATTTATGTAACAAGTCCTTAAAGACTAATAGAAGACGAGATACATACAATGCTCTTTTTGCTACTTCTAGTTATTCAAAATAAACATTTAATACTTTCATGATTTAAGAATTGTAATAACTCTCGATGTTTTGAAACAATGGTTGTTGGAACAGGGTCTTGGTACCGCTTTCAAATATCAATCATAGTGCGAGGGAAGATCCAAAAGGACGAAGGGTGAGAAAGGGACAAAGCGGGGAAAGGGTGAAGACGGCAAGGGGAAAAGGGACACAATAAGAAAAGAGGGGGGAGGAATTATACAATGGGGACAAAGGGACAAATATGCAATAGCGTCGCAATTGCCGGTAATGCTAAGGTCAGACGGGCCAGCTGAACTCCAGTCAACTCTTCTTCAGAAATTTATTTATTTCTGAACGACAACTTTTATTATTTCTATATATATATATATATATATATATATATATATATATATCCACTATCCACAGCTTAACTATTATACTAGCTTTCGTGGATGGGCTACCACGACCTCTCAAGGGTTTCTGGTTATTTATTTTTCATTCCCCAATAACTTCTCCTGTTGCTTGACGGGAACACACTACTAAGTTACAAGGCCAAAATGGGATAGTAGGACAATGGGACACAATGAGCCAACGGAAAGGGGGGCAAAAGGGACGATATGGAACAAGAACAAGGGGAACTTGTTTATCCAAAGATTTACGAGCACAGTATGTCGCCCGGTGGGGCTTGGAGTAATGTTTGCTAATTATTAACGATAAAAATTTAATGCATTATTGGGAAAAGAAAAATATGTGGACTTCAAATATTCATAAGGATATTATATACTTGAATTAATCATTGTTGTATGAAGTACGACAATCTAAGGCATCTTCGTCCTACAAGTTTTCTGCGACCGTACACCTGGCCTACGCGGACGCGCCTGATCAATAATTGGCAGCAATATATTTGGCAATTGAATAACAATGACTTCTGACATTTCATATTCTAGGACAGTTATCCAATCAAGATCTTCAATACCTAAAATTAAGTTGAAACGATGCTCTTGATTGGATAATTGGGACCAAATGATGAACTACTAGAAGTCACTATAATTAATTTTAGTGTAGTTTTGGCAAGAAAAGAGCGCGCCACTACAAGCTTTGAAGCTAGAACAAAGTCTCCACGCCAAGGACTGTCGTCTGTGTGCGTCGAAAAGAATGGACTTGTGTTGATTAATGACAGAATATGTGAACCCATTATCACGCATGATTAAATATTTTTTTCATTTATTAGAGGTTAGGTTTTAACCTTACTTTCTTTCAAATTATCTCTGTTAGATGTTACTATTTGATAGCTAGTGACGTCGATTTGAGGACCCGTATCTCTTCGTAAACAAGGTCCGAGTAGCTCGTATATTTTTGTCTGTAAGCGTGCCGTTCGGTGCCAACTTTAATCACGAATGAAAAGGCGTGTGTTAAGCATGGATTTGCCGACGACTACAGATAATGGTAAGGTTAGAGTCAAGAAAAAAAATACGGTTAGCTATTTGAGTATCAAGTAATAGTAAACTTTGTTTCAGTTCTTGTAGAAAGAAACAGGGAACCGCTTGGAATTAGTCTCATAAATCCCTATGCAGTTGGAAAAAGGGACCGTAGTGACATTGTTGCATTAGCAGAAGAAATTTCCAAGGTTGGTTGTGACCTGAGCTTTATAAAATGTTTTTTAATGTGACTGCTGTTATTTCAATATATTATATAATTTATTTGGTCCCTTGCATTAGACTGCTAGATACAAACCTAATATAACAAGGAACAAAATAAATTGTATAATATACTGACTCGAGTTAGTGTGTGCCATGTACTCTTATTATTTAATTCTGTGCAGGCTGACACATTTGTACAAGCTACAACATGTAGCAAACTGCAAATAATTGCAGAACAGATGCGATTCTTACAACAACAGGCACTACATGTTCTCTCAGAGGCTAAAGAAAGTTTTGAACTGAATCATGCAGCTTGCAACTTCAGAAAAATTCCAGGGCACACATATCATCTGTATAAGAGAGAATCTGGACAAACATATTTTTCTATGTTATCACCTCAGGTAATTAGCTCAAGTAAACATATATTCAGTTTTAAGTGTGTTGATAGTTTAAGTTGATGTTGACAAGCAATGTTAACTTTTTGTCAAGCTAATTATACTGGTGTTGGTAAGACACACTGAAAGAACGTCAGTGACTTCTATTCTGCTTGATGTAAAATTTTGAATTTTTGATTCCTTTGAACCGTCGAAGTATTTTCCCATGAAGATTTTGTTACTCTTCAATATTTATTGTATTTTTGGTACTCATTTTCAGAATATCTTCAAATTATCAAGATACCACTATGGGACAAACCCTTTGCAATACATTTGTGAAATTCTAATGTCATGAATAACTGATTTCCCAATTGTTATATGTATATATTTTTTCTTTGTAATAAGTATTTTCAGAGGCACAACTGTAATTTTTCTATTTGGGGAGGGGGGTCTAGTGTCCATTCAATTGACATTATTTCTTTAATTGGCTTGAGTAGGAGGCAAATATTTGCATTGAAACAAACATTTTTTTGGTATCAAATGTTACCAAAACTGCAGTTGTTACTTGTATTCATAATTCAACTGTATAGTAAAAGATAAAGGATAGGGATTCCAGAGCTCAAGAAAATTTTCTAATTCTGTCCAAAGATTAGTTTTATAATAAAACAAATTTAGATTGAGATTCCCCCTCCCCCTCAATTTTTTCACTCTGGAGATGACAATATTTCTGAGAATACATTAACATTGAACATCTACCAAACTTCTTTAACCATTCCAACTGAAATGTTGTTCTTGAATTCACTGAAAAAATGAAGTAACCTTATGTATGAGTAATAGTTGTTTGATAATTCTACATCATAAATAGAGAATATTAAATAAAATGTTGGGACACACTGGGGGGGCTCCCTGGGATACTAGGATGAGTGATAACCTTAACTAGGAAGTCTAGGTTAATTCTCCATGTATTGTTACCTACCTCTTTCCAGGATCCCTCATTTTCCACCCACAGATTTGTTTTAGTTTTGTTTGGACTGGTTCGATTTCACACTTATTGCTTTCCCATCTTTATCTTTTACTCAAATGTATATTTCTTAAACACCAAATTCCTTTAATTATTGCCATACTTGTAAACAACCGTATAAAATTAACCTATTTATTATCCATACTTCGCTCTCAATATTAGGTTGAGGTTGAATAAATCTGAGAAATGCAATATACTTCTGTTATGTGTATTCTTGGCTATCCAGGATGAGCCACGTCTCAGTTGGTTGGACTGACGTTTTGGCCATCTTGCTGTGGCCTTCTTCAGAGCTATACTGCTCCGGCTAGATGGCCGAAACGTCAGTCCAATCAACTGAGACGCGGCTCATCCCGGATAGCCAAGAATACATTGACTCCGGCCGTGGAAGCCTACGAACCCGTACTTCTGTTATGTTTCCTCACAAAAGCTGTTGGAAATCGTGATAATGGAGTCATTTGAAGACGAACTTCTAACATTCCTGTTGCAACTTTCAGGATTGGGCTCAGCAGGGTGGACCACCTCACAAATACATTGGTGCTTACCATTTGAAGGAGGATTTGACATGGATTACCGAAGGAAAGTTACAACAGAGTTCATTCAACTTTAGCGATATTGCTAAAATGGGCTTGTTACCAACTGGTAATATTAGGCAGCAACAGATTGAAGCAATTACTGAAAAAATGGACTGTTAATGTATAGGCATATATAATAAAATAATGAGTGGTACTTACTGGGATCCATAAAAACAATCCAAAGAATTTCTTTATTATACAAAACACATTGAAAATAAAATATACCTTTGAAAAAATTTATTGTTACATTACTTACAAAGTTACAACTTGTATACTAATGTTTTAAATTTACTAACAAATAGCACGAGGTCATGTTGGATTTACCCGATGAGCTGGAAAGAAAAAACACTTTCAAAATGCAAATTTAAACAATGGTATTATTTAAAATTAACAACTAGACTTACTTTGCTTAGGTATCCTAAGAGTTTCTGTATCTCCAACAGTCACTTCATGTAAATGTGTATGATACAAATATTGTACCATAAGCACTTTATCTTCCCCGACACAAGGATCATAAAAACCAGGTAGCTGGCTCTGTAAAAGAAGCACCATTGTCACTGGTGGCTAAGTAGTCTGGTAAAAAACAGCAATGTGAAACTGTTTTTGTGAAATTAAGGGAAATTAAACTCTTAAGACAAGATAATGACAAGGTACTAATTACTATCCTTATTTCTTCTTTCTTAATGCTCCATTGAATTCCATTTGTTCTTTACATAATCCTTTATTAAAAATTCAACACAGTAAGCACCAATAATCAAACAAAATTCTTCCCAGTTATATATAAAAGAATTTCAGATGAATAGTATATTTAGTACATACAACAGTATGGGTATGAATTTGCATTTGGTTAACGTAATCAAGCTTATATGAAGAAAGAATTCTATTACAGAATTAGGTTAACCAAGCATATGCATTCAAAAGCCACATTCCTCAAAACCAAGATAATTACACATAGTGATTGATATATAATTTTTTTAAAGCCCTGGAACATGCTTTAAAGTAAGAATTAGTTATATGTAGATGACTCTGGTTATAGTGAACCCTTGGTTATGGTGAACTTAAGTCACTGGCCCCGTTTCACTTACATTGCAAATAAGCATAAGAAGACTTGGCTATAGTGAATGTAGGAAATACATCCTCGATAATAATTCTCTCCTGGAAGAGAATATTGTTTTGCCTCGATGCCACAAATTCCAATATGGCTTGAAAAAACATCGTAGTTGTTGTATAGAAGTAGTGTCTCCTAGGGTATAAGTAGGGGACTGGGAATGGGCACCATAGAGATAGCCTTATGTCACTCAGGTTCACTGCGAAAACAAAGGCTGTATCTGGCTACAACTGGCAGTAGTGACGGACAATTGCTTCAACCATAGTGTTACATGGTTTTGCTGCGGGACAAAGCACTGAGTTCTACATAGGCAGCAGGAAGCATGTGGCTGCTTTTCTGTATGGCATGGTGGATATCGCTAGGCTGTAGGCCCCACTACCGAAAGCATCTCGTGTATTATTAGGCGAAGAAAAAGGCATTTAGAGACAGGAAGTTATTTGTGTGTAACAGTGCAAGAGGCAATGAAGGGTGTCAAGACTGCATTACAATACTTAGACACAGAGAACAATATAGAATCACTTATGGAGAGAGCACAAACTGTGGAGAAGGATATAGATAAATTGCTAATGAAAAAGTTTGAAGCAAACAATTGGAAATAATTTGTCTTGATTTTTAAGGAAAAATAAAGACATTGAAATTTTCAATTTGTACTGTTATTGTATTTTGCTACACCTCAATATTAATAAAATCAATCGTTACGGAGAAATTCTGTTTAATTTTGAAATCTTCAGATGTAGTGAACCAAAAATGTTAGTCCCCAGAAGTTCACTATATCCGGAGTCAACTGAATTTATAATATAATTTAATAATTATAAATCATACTAAAGAATTAGTAACAGTAGTAGCACTGGCTCTATATGAATGTAATGATAATAATAGAAAATAAAAAATTTAGAGTTGAGAATGATATTTTAACACTTTTTTAATATTTTTATTACTTTTGAAGAAATTATATTGTTAAGTGGAAAATTATTTGATTTTGTGATAACTTATTATTGAAGTTAAAAAAAGAGAAACAGGTTGAATACATTGTTTAATAATTTTTATTAATCATCTGTAAGATAATTGCAATGCAGTTTTCACAAAAGTGCGTGAGGGAATGGGGCTGGTTTATACATGTTTCATATTTCCATTTTTTTCTCTCTTTTTTTTTTTTTGGGGGGGGGGGGGTTACCCAAAGATTTTAGAGCTAGAAGTGGAGTCTCTTTCCTTATTAAACGTAAATGGACAAAATTCATTAAACAGATAGAGAATATTAATGAAAGGATACTAAGAATAGACATGAACGTTTTTCGTCATAAGATAACAATTTTAGGGGTATATGCCGTAAATGATAATGCACTTGTAGATGAAAAGAATAAGTTCTTTCAAGACCTCAGCGAAATTATAGCGAGTATTCCGTATCAAAATGAAATAATATTAATTGGGGATTTTAATAGCAGAGTAGGTAATAGAGAATGTGAAGTAGTAGGTCAATACGGAGAGGAAAGTATTAATGACAATGGAAAAAGATTAATCAACATATGTAAGGAACATGCACTATGTGTAGGGAATACATTGTTCAGACATAAAAACATCCACAAATATACACAAATAGATCCAGTAAGAAATATACAATCTGTAATTGATTTAGTTGTGGTGAAGAAAAAGTTAAACTGAATGATGTGAGAGTATACCGTCGAACAGAATGTGGAACTGATCATCATATGGTAGTGAGCAAACATGTTTTTCCTTTTAGAAATAAACAAAGATGTACTGAAAGATACTGACCTTTTAATGAAGAACCCCAATGTAAATTTTAAAAACAGACCTTTTTAAAACAATACAGTGTTGAGATGCTCTACCAAAACAGAATTAAGGAATAAAGCCAGAAAAAAAACTCAGAAGACAAAAGTCCCGAAGAAATGTTACAATCATTTAAGAGGCTGTTTTTGAGCAAACTTTAAGAAGTTTTAGGTGTGGAGCAGAAAAAAGCAAGTTTGTAGAGAAATTTTTAGCAAAAAATTTAGAAAGCATGATCTAAGGAAAAGAAAAAAAATACTATTTTGCAATGATTTCAAATAGGATGCGACACACGAAAGGAATATGTAGAAAGAGAAAAGAAGTTAAAGAATTAGTAAAAATCGAAAAAAATAACAACTGGGAGAGATTATGTAGGGCTATAGATTAGACATTGGATATAATAGATCAACTGAAAGATGAAAACATATAAAAATATGAAAAACTGTACAGAAGCAAATACAAATAAACTTCCTGACAATGGATTGATACTACGAACATTATTGCCAGACAAAATTTAGGTGAATACCAACAAGATTTGGAATGCACACATTGGCCAAGAATGGGACCCCTGAAGTAGTCGGCTTGATGTAAAGAGGGCTTTGGCGAGAGCCAAAAACAATAAAGCTCCAGGACCAAGGAACCTTTAGAATGGAACTTTTTAAAATAAGGAGGCTCAAGTATAATTGAATACCTTCAAAATCTTTTTAATAGAATTGAAGTTAGCGGTGATATCCCGCAGGATGGAATATGTCATACATCGTTCCATTAACAAGAAAAGGTGACAATAAATATGATGGTGAAAATTACAGAGGAAATTTAGTGTTCATCCCAACAATAGCCTAGGCTACTCGCTAGTATTCTTATAAAGGCAAAAATACAAAAAGAAATAACTTTCCAGCGGAAGAAACGAGTGGTTTTAGGGAGTGGGAGGTCATGTTGAGTAACATCCCATGCTTACGCCAGATAATAGAAAAAAAATGAATGCACAACATAGATACATATATGACATTGTATTGACTTGGAAAAGGGGCTATGACAGTGTTCCAGATTAAAAATTTGAGCCAGCAATGAAAAGACAAAGTGCAAGAAAAATGGATTAATTTAGTTACAAAAATTGATCCAGAATACTGAAGCGTGCATTAAAATGGGGTGAAGGAAAATTACCCCGAAGCATCTAGAACTAACAAAGGTTAAAGCAAGACCTGGTTTAACCTGGAGACATATATACATGAAGTAATGGAGGAGGAAGGATGGGGTCAATGGGAGACGAGAATTATGGAAATCGAAAACGGCAAAACTCTAAGGGGTGAAACCTTGTCGAAGAGAAAAGGATATTTCCATTTTATGACTTGCATTTTACAAGATATTGAGGTAAGTTTGTTTTTTTCAAATGGAGGGCTGCTCTGAAGAAGACCACGATAAGATGGTCGAAACGTCGGCCACACAGCCTTTGACACGGCATCACCCAGACAGCCAAGATCATTTACACGACTCTGGCTGCGGAAGCCTAAGACTACGTGAAGAGATGGTCAGATGTTCTCACAGTATGGCAAGCCTGCTGCGACTAAGATGATTTTTACCTTTAGGTGAGAAAAGTATCACTGACACAGCATTTCGTGGCTTTTAACCCTGAATTCTGAGAAACTTCGATGATTGCCAAGTGTAACACATGAGAATGCTGTATATTGCAGTGATTGTTTGCTGGTCGCTGTCATCGCCTGTTTGTACAATAGCTTCTATTGCATCTAATCTGGCTACTAAACGGTCCTGGATAGCAATGGATGAAGATTTTACTATTGACGGGAAAGTTAAATGGTGAAAAATTTGCATTAAGTTATGCTCTCAAAATGATCGGTCGTATTAATTATAAAAATTGTTTAGGAACTTTTATAAATGTAACTTTGTATTATGTAATAGTGTTTTATATTTAGTGTATATTGATTTTACATATTTATTACTTATTCTTACTGTTTTCATTACATACTTATGTACATATTTTGACGTTTCATCCCACATAGTTTTCTGGTCTCTAATCATAATTAGATTGTGTAGTACCTTGGATGCTTCGTGAAGTGAAAGCTTGGAATCTTTGACCAAGCACTGCAGAGGAATTGTCACATCTATAACGTCATCATCCACTGAGGTTTGCTCTCTTTCAGAGTCCTTCTCACCAGATGACGGGTTGCCAAATGTAGACACTACCAATGAACGACCATACAAAGCCTTGACTATCACCAGTCCTTTCCTAACTTCCTCTTCACTGCGTATACGTGCAAACGTATTCCGCATTAAACTTACAGAAGCTTGGGCTTCTCTTTTCTTTTCTGCCATTCTGAAAGAAGATGGCAAACTTTTCATAAATGCTATTTGAACTCAACAACCCACTCATTACACTGCCTAAACATAAATAAAACTGGCAAATAAGACAGAACAATGAAATTGCCAGCGCAGAACAGAGATTTTCCAATTAATTCACTTTATATTGTGTACTCCCGCATTTTTAAGCCCTTCCCAGAAAAAACTTACAAGTTATAACTAGCAAAAGTAGAAAACATTGCGCAAAAAACCAGTCTCACCTAGCTTTATTACTTTCCCGGCGTTTTTCTTTTTCTCTTTCCTTCTGGTCTTTCAGAATTGGATCTATAACAAGTCTTTTTACTACACCGTAAACAACAATAGGCACTGCTGTTGCATAAAATACAGGACTTGGAACAATTTCTTCACTTAAGTGAATGGGAAAACTGTAAGTCTGATTAGAGCGCACCAACCTGTAATAAATTGAACATAAATCACAATTACAGAAGTAAAATTAAGCGTATTAGCACTACATCAATATTCTTACTTTACAACTAATGTGACACCAGAAGGCACCCCCACAGCAACTGTAGCAGCAACAGAACTATGCTGAGAAACCTTTTTCTCAGCACCATATTCGAGAACAGTGCCAAATGTTCCAGCTCTAAAAATACAATATTATTATGCTTTCTGATGATTTATCCATCTGTTATACAGAAACAAACAAAAATCACTTACTTCAATGCACCTCTGAGTTTTAATTCATATTCTTCAAGTTTGTGAGTATAAGTTAGAGATATATATGTATGAGGAATACCAAATTGCAGAGACACTGATGTATGAGACCTGGGGGTGTCACGAACTATCACAGTTGACATGGCAGATTGTGCACCAGCCTTCCAGGTCAAATATCCTACTGTGTTTTTGTCCAACTGGTTAGCTAAACCTACAAAATGTAAATAAGTTTGCATGTCAGTTCTCCCACCAATACCTCCTGGTTCCATTCATATATTTTCCTTGGAAGCAAACCTAAAGAATAGGAGTTTCAAATACACCTCATGTTAATATTAAAACACAGAACAACTTAAGTGCTTTTGGATCACACAATAAATGAAAAATGCTGACATTAACTCATTGACACCAGAATCTCAGAAAATGGAAAATGACACGGTTCTGTAACAGCCACATACCAACGGGCAGGGTTAAAGACTGACTGCAGCATAATTTTTCTTCTCTGGTTTCTTTCAGATAATGAGTTATTGCTTAGGATATTATTAGAACCTTTGTGATTGTTTCATCTTTCCATACTTTTCAGATATATACAAAACATTTCACAATCATAGTGAAAACTTTGGAATTCTCTTTCAGACAAGCTTGCCCACAAACATACAACAATCTAATTTTAGTATCAATGGAGAAAACAATTGTACATTCAGAGAAACTTACAGAATGTTGAAAACTGAAAATATTTTTACACAGACTTAAGAAAATGATTGTAATGTATTGTTAAATACATGTATAATCAATTCTTAGAAATAAAGCCTTTTCCTTAATTTTTATTGCAATTTATTTTGGAGACTGTTTGACAATACCTGTAGATGTTCACTGAATACCAGAATGTCAATGGTATGAGACTGTTACCAACCAACAGTTCTCAAAGATTCCATCTCAGGTTAGTTAACATTCATAGAAAATTTCTGACACTATGAAAACGTTTACACAACATAACATACGATATCAAAATACCACGAGACATGTGACCTCAACCCAAATCTTAACAATGAAAGTCAACAAAACCACATTGAAAAATTCCTATGATATACAATTTCCTTGATTATTTTTATGAGAACTTCCAATTTAGATATTTGTTAGAAAATAAATAAAATTTCATTATACAAGAAAACTAAGTAAGAGATAGTGGGTTCAGAAATCTCATACACAGATGTTAGCTCCATTGTTACACCATACAACTGCTTTTATAGCATCTAGATTCTGTGAATATAGTAGTTTTTTTTTTTCTAGCTGCAAAGACTGAAAACAGAAAGTTTGAACTATAATGAGCAGTAGTATATAGACAGTATTCACAAAGACATTATTTTGATTTGTTATTAGCAAGTCCTGCTAGTATGAATCATAATAACACAAAGAGAATGAAAGGTTTGTTCAAAATGAAATTAGAGGAGTGTTTCTGTGAAAATGTAAATAAACTTGATTCCTCCTTTTGAAGTAGGGGGAAGGAAAAAGAAAAGGATAGGAAAAGAAAACAAGCTGGAAGTAACTAGAGCTATAATTGTATGCAATTAGTGAGAAATCTACAAATTATGAAAAAATATATCAGCCTCTCACTCACCCCTTTTTGAAATCTATATACATGTAATCACATTTGACATGGCGATTCATTTAAATACTATTTAAACTGAAATGCAAATAATTAAAAATTTAAATTTCTCAATATTATGGACTTAAAGGAAAGTGAATTATATGAAATTAACTTAAACAATTATTTAAAATAACTTAATTTATCAATTTAGCAACTTCTAAAATTAGAAGTTTGAAACGGGTATTTCCATCCAAGGGCTAGAGTCCAACTCTAAGTAGTAAAATCAAAATGGGACATGATTTCATGGCACTGGTCCTTGAACCACTAGACCTGGAATATTCAGGTGATAGTGTAGATGGTAGAGAGGAGAGAGAGAGAAAAAGAGAGAGAAAGAGAGAGAGAGAAAGAGAGAGAGAAAGGAGAAAGAGGAGAGTTGAGAGGATGAGAGGAGAGAGAGAAGGAGGAGAGAAGGAGAGAGAGAAAGAGAGAGAGAAAGAGAGAGAGAAAAGAGAGAGAGGAAAGAGGAGAGAGAAAGATGAGAGGGGCGGGGGGGGGGGGGAAGAGAGACGAGAGAAGGAGGAGAGAGAAGGAGGAGAGAAGGGAGAGAGAAAGAAGAGAGAGAAAGAGAGAGAGAAAGAGAGAGAGAAAAGAGAGAGAGAGAGAAAGAGAGAGAGAAAAGAGAGAGAGAAAAGAGGAGAGGAGAGAGAGAGAGAAGAAGAGAGAGAGGGGGAGGAAGAGGGAGAGGGAAGGGAAGGGAAACACTTCCAAACATGGGTTTCCAAACCATGACATCATGTTACAATATTTCTGTTGACAGAATGAAAGTCTGATTTTTTCATCAATGTTTCTTTAATAACAAATTTGCCATACATTATAAAGTAAACTTTGTATGTGACATTTTGGAAATGGAAGGATTCTGTAAAAATTAATAAATAATCTTTCTCCAGTATTGGTAATATTAGAAACGACATAGCAATAGTACAAATTTTGGAGGTTCAGTGCATGTCGGAGAATAAGAATGGAAGAAAAAAAACAAAAAAACATTCAGTGGTAATCAAAAGGAAATAAATTGAACAATGTTTTGAGTGGGAAGAAACTATTTCCTTTTTTCACTTCACATATCAAAAACGGCTGATGTTGCTAAGGCAGTTGTGCCAAAGTAACCAAGGAATGTGGAGTCTCAGGGGCGAGTTCTGCTTAGACATGGGTATTTTCACGTATGTGATGTAGTGTAACTGATTTTTCCACCCTTCATGCAAAACCTTCATATCTCATCTTCTGTTTCCCATAAGGCCTGGGGGACGTAGAGGTTTGTATTTGAAGCCAATGATTCAATCTGAAGAAGCTCAGATATTAGGAAAAATGAAATTTAGAGCTTCCAATGGCTGTTTTGACAGTTTCAGAATGCATCACACTATTCTTTTTATTTAAGTTTGTAGTGAGGCAAAAGCTGTTGATGCAATACTGTAGATGAATGAAGAAAGAAATTCCAAAACTCGTTGAAGTATACGAAGCAAAAAACATTTTGAATGGAGAACAACGTGGACTTCTTTTCACAATGTCATCTATGAAATTGCTTGTTGAAAAGAGCGATAAATGTGTAGAAGGGAAAATGTCAAAGGCATAAGACTGACTGTTTTTTCTGCATACCATTGTGGAATGGAAGGTGAAATCTAAACTCTTATTGTAATAGATGAATCAGCTCGTCCTAGACCATTCAGAAATCTCATCTCCTTGCCCATTTACTAGAGGTTCAATAAACAGGCCTGGATCACAGGCACCATTGTGAAAAAAATATCTGGGTATGTTTAATGAGAAGATGAAAGCACGAAACAGTAAAGTCTTGCAGTTTCTACTTCAATGCCACTTGACATCCCCAAATTATTTTATCCAACTTCATTGGCCACATTTCTTAACAACGTTCTACAAAGTCATGGAAATTAAGCAACATGAGACAGTAAGCATCATCGATAGGTGACCGTCTAGAAGCCCGCTTACTAACGACACTGAGCCCCTGGCCGAAAGTGTAAAAGGCACTAATTAATTGAGACGAGACAAAACTTGACCCCCCCCAAAAATAAATAAATTAAATATCATAAAATTTGCGGTGTTCCCTCTCAACATGACATCAGTTACACAGCCCCAAGACACAATGTGATTTTTCTCTTCAAGCACTTTTACAGGAAGTAAAAGGCTCTAGTGTTTCAAGTTGTACTGAGTTAGGCAAATTGATAAATATACTGGATAAGCAGGGTGCAAAACAACATCCTTCTTGAGACAATGATGAGATGTTTTCATAAAACTGATTTTAAAGCGTTAGTAACAGTGAAGAAAATAACAATGAAATTTCTGATTTGTGTCAAAAGTGCAAATATTGATTTTAGTGCACATTATATAATACATTTTGATGATGATGTGAAGAGATAGAGATGTACTGTAGGAAGAAAGAGCACAGAATAAAGTCAACAATAACAATGACATGCGAGTAAACGACAGAATAAGAATTAAGACTTTCCAAGAAACCCAAATTGCATTGAACGATTTGGAGGCATTTGCTACAAAAGAAGATTGCCCTGATTTTCTAAAGAAAATTCAAGATGCAAAGACAGTTATCGTTAATGCTGCCCTAAAATCTTTCTGGCAGTTCCACATAGATGAATTCGTAATCTGCCATAAATTAAATCAAAAGTTAACCGTAAAATGCTTGTTTTCTTATTATTGGTTCATTCAAATTTAAAAGGCTAGTTTGAGCCTTTTCTTCACCAACATTTTCTGGACTTCACTGATTATAGGTAAAGGTCATGATATTCACAAGGATCTAAGCAAGTAGCCGAAGGCTAAATCATCATATGAATGAAAATCCTATTGGAATGATTTAAGCATGATTTAAGTCTCAAAATAATATTTTTCAATACAGTTTGTTGTGTCCAGTTTTTTATTTATATGCTTTTAGTATCCTCCTCTAGCGTGTCCTTCCTTCCCACATCCTTCCACACACTTTATTCTACAGTGTTCACAACCTCAAAATATGTAGTTCAGTCCCGATACTCTTAAACCATTCAAACACATTTCTTCATTTGCTTGCTTTGTCATTACACTTGTATTCTGTTCTGGAAGATCATTGGAGATGATGGGATTTTACTAGCTTTCATTCCACAGTCTATGACGATTATGTATTCAGACTCAACAGACTAATCATAGATGGGGTAAAACTATTTCCTTAGTGGTGTATTCCTTATGTCTCTTCATTTGCTGTAAATACTACAAAAATAACTCACGAACGCAAACTCATAATGAAATCGGTAAAGTGCCCCAACAGTGAAATACTTTTTCTTGGAAGCTGTCTTTCCTATGTTCACTATAACTGAATTATCTAGTGTGTATTGGTTATGAATGCAGATTGAGACAGGGATTGTAGTTCACTATAAACAAAAGATCAGTATATACAGAGTCAAATGTAATATTCTTTCATGCTAAGATAACTTAACATGGAATAATAACAATATAAATAAACATATCAAACTAAAATATTTTTTTTCCCAAAATATTTTCCTAGTTTAATCACAAATCAACTTTGGTATATTCTCCAAATTTTAGCATTACAAAGTATTTATTAGGATTACTTTAAATACAACAAATACTGAAGTTAACCCATTTGCTTCCGATTTGTTTCCCGTGTTCACTATTCCTGAACTCGAATTTAAATGGCTCCACTAAACTGAAGTTTTGTAAGTTCTTGAAACGAAAAAGGATTTAAACCAAAGCACAAAACAGAAACCAATATACACTGAATTTCAAGTCATGCTCTAGTGCACAACTATTTGTCAGACAAAAACCATAAGAGACATTTATATTTAGAACACATAATGCTCTCTCTCTTTTGGGTATATAACACCTCCAAAAGCCCTCAATTAAAACCAAAAACTGAAGAAAAAAGCTTTTATCGCACATTTCTCAGATCTCAACATTTTTATAAAGATGCATAGTTGATATTTAGGTTCAGCACTCCCCTCCGGACACAAAAGCACTTAAAGAATAGAAAAAATACAAATCCCAACTCTCCAAATGAATTACTATTTCACTGATCACTAACAAACTATTCTTAGACATAGAAAGTACCAGAAAACTTTCAAAACGGGTACATCAGCATGTACCACAGGTAGGTACATAACAGCCATACAATTTCTTGGAGCTTTTACAAACTAAAAGCACCTGAAGGGAGTAGACTCGCGTATCGTCAACATGTCAGACAAGGCAAAGGCCTCTCTCCACCATGATATGTGAGAGATGTCAAAACAATGGTTTAATATGAATCAATTGCTCAAGTAATCAAGAAATAAATTGCTCAAATCAATTAAATATACAAATGTATTTATTTGTAATTGTAATACTCACTTGTGACTAGACTTGGCCTTATTCCATGAGAAGTAAATTGGAATACAGTAGACATATTAATGAACATTCTTTTTGTTAATGTCCTAAAACCTTTCACTGAAAATACAGGTCCATTGCCAGCTCCCAAATCAAATTCTATCCATCCTTTTTCTGATAACAGCCGTCGCAAAGAAACATTGATAGAACCTGAGCCAGTGCCATTGTGTGTTGACAAATTGCCAGCCATCACAACTGTATCACGTAATGTTAAGGGGGCTTCAATAGACTGCACAAATGACATTCCACTGACTTCAATAAACGGAATTGCTCGTGGTCCCCTAAGGTACAAGAATGTTCAAATTAAAAGAAGTAATTAAGAAAAAGTAATACTGTATGTACTTTAATACAATAAAATGTAGCTACGTACAGTTCATCATAATCAAATTCTTCATCATATCTATTGAATATGTCTGTAGCATTGATATTCACAGTTACACTGCCCTTTGGATTGGTTCTCTGTTGTAATCTTCTTTCGTCCCTTTCTCTGAAATTAAGCACAAATGAAACGATAAGAAATAAAATTTGGACATTCAAATTTAATGAAAAATAATGATCTGCTCAATCTCTATTATGAGAACTAGAGAAAATATTGTCAGAATACAGGCTTTACCAACTTGGCAAAACTTCTGGAATCGACTCCTCCTTAGCCTCCTCAGAAAAAAGTTATTTCAATATGGGTTCAGAAATGCATAAATGTGGAGTTATTAAACAGTTAATCTGCCTAGAGTACGCTCCCACAGTTAAGTAATAATTACAGAATAATACAACCTTTAATTAGTGGTGAATGCAATTCAACACACTCAACACAAATGCACAGTCACACTGATCACTGTTCGAACATATCTGCACAGAAGTTCAAAGAAACCTCTTCTGGCCTGAATAAAGGTGTAATTTAGACTGAATTGATTCTTGGATACAATCAAAAATGTCTAGTACATAGTACTCTCCCTGAAATGTCACCACCAAATACATTAATGAACACTTTGGTTCATCATCAATGACAGGCTAATGCATCTGCAACTTAACTTGTCCCCAAGCACAAAATTCTCACTCTGATAACTGTAAATGTGCACATTTTTAAACCTATATTGTAATGATTTTTTTTCCTTCCATTCCTGTAATTTTGCTTTTAGTGTTGTCATGCCCTCTAAAATATACCGTACCATACTAATCTTACTCCAAACCATAACACATTTAATTTTCAAAAACAAGAATTCAAGATTGTTCATCAATTACAGAATTTTGACAAAAATATTTTTGTTTGTTAACAATTGCATTTTTTTAAAGATAACTTTCTCAGTATTATCAAGAGACCCTTGCAGAACCAGAACAGTCTATACAAACAATGATAAACTAAAATACAGAGGGGAAAAGAACTACCAAAATTGCAAACTATTCTTCACTATACATATTATAAACACTACTTTATAATATTTACTTAGCCCTTTCAAAATTGGAATATTAAACTTTATTTACTAATTGCCAATAGTCGTAACATTTCTCACAATACCTGGCTAATCTTTCATATTCTTCCCGAATTTCCTGTGGAGTTTTGGTCCTTTGAACAATCTCCCATCCTTCAGTCTCAAGTCCACGAATACCAAGACTATCATATATAGCTCTCTGATGAGGGTCGCTCAAAACTATGAGAAAAAGTTTTAAAAAAACAAAACATTAACATTCACTTTTTAAACAATTAAAACACACGTAACTCTTCCCAATATTACCCATCAGTAAGAAATTAACTCTCATTACTATCTTTTTGCACTTTATTTATTACAAATTATTTGGAACCGCAAAGAATACGTATTTATCCATTTCAGAATAAATGCCTGAATAAAAATTAGTCATAGAAAATAATAAACATATTACCTACATCAGAGTAACGTCTACTCAGTTATATCATATTAGATTGCTCAAACTGTCATATAAACAAGTTATTTGGATTTTCTAAATTGCCAATTCCATACTAAAGTTCTTATGATTAGACTAGGCTTCAAATAATCAGCAAACATTACTAACAAGTGATTTCTTGTAAATACGTGGTTGAAACAAAGTAAATGGAATGGTACAATGCATTTTAACCTATTACACAAATAAAGATGCCATCAACAGAGATACAATTTTAATTAAGAGGGATATCCACCAATAATACAATTTTGTAATGAAACTTCTTTTAAAAATTATTAAATTTGAAGTACACAGAAGCCATGAAGGTTATTAAACTTTTAAAAGATGGAATCAAATACCAAGCAGAGCCTGAAAGAGATCGTAAAGCACTCAAAATCGGCTATTAGCACCACTATTTGTTGATGTTTTTTCTTGATACATAATCAGTCAAGCACTGCATGGTGCATTCAGATCTTTATAATGCAGCTTACAGGTTTCTGAACATGCCTTGTAGTCACACTACAATGATAAGAGAAGAAAAAAAAATGCAACTTATCCATGTCAATAATACTACAGGTGTGTGCAAGGGAGGGGAGAGGGATGTGCGACAACATGGTAACAAATAGCCAGCTTAGTGCCCTGCTATGATGACTTTCCATCTCTGCATGACAGTCCACCATGCAGCCTTCGACGTCAAGGTGGCTCTCTACTAATAGATGTGGTGCCTTGTAAAGATTGCATTCCACTTTGGAGGATTAATGAAAGGTTCAATAGAAATGAACCTAAAAAGTATAACTGTATTTGAATTTGAAGAAAGCAGAATAAAATGTTCATGAAATTTTCGAAATCTGTGATTAGAAATTCTATTTCTTTGGAAGAGAGTAGATTTTTTATTGTAATTAAAAGTACTAATAACATACAAATTAAAAGTTAATTTATGTAATATTAAAGTGGATTATAAATGTTTATATTTTTATCTAGTTTTATTAAACAACTTTCAAAATATTCATATTGTGACAAAACTTTATTAGAATATTCTTCTAAACTCTTTACTTGCTGCTCATAAATCTAATAAGAACTGTTGCAGCTCAAATACTTCTCAATCCTTATTTCACAAATCCAACTTTATAAATATTCATATTGTACAAATGTCATATCATCATAAACTAACATTCATAACAACACAAATACTGTATGTATTCAGAAATACAAGTCTTAATGCATATTTTAATAGAATTCTGCAGAGCTCTTTAAGGACCTAATTCTAGAGCCCTGCTTGGGGTCTATGAAAAGAATAATCTGGCCAAGAATGCATATTTTAGAGACCCCAAATTAGAGGCTAAAATTTTATGTGGCAATAATCACTCTAGCAAGACTTTCGAGACTCTAGCTGGCTTGCCTACATCGTAGGTAGAACAAAAATTCAGAGGATATAAAAGATGATTAATACTTGTTTTAAGAAACCTCGAATCCATTTTTTTAATGACTGTTATTGATGATGCAATAACAAGTAAAGTATAACAAGAAAAAAGAGTTCTTACTCACAACGATAAGACTCCCTAAAATCTATTATAATACACACAACAATTAAGTTAGAAACAATAATGGCACAAAAAACATTTTGAAAAACTTAAACCCTGCTTGCAGCAGTACCTTCATAAGCTCTTTTGGTTTTGTTAAACAGATGTTCGGCTTCCTTTTTTTCAATGGGATCCACATGCTTATCCGGGTGGTACACCTTACTTAAACGACGGTAAGCGTTGTTTATCTCATCATTCGTGGCCTGCGAACAGTTTACAAATGATCTTTAATCTAAACTAAACGTTCCATTGGAACGCCGGCTCTGAAGTAGTGATTATTTAAATAAAACTATTTTATCATAAATTCACAACAACAAAAATCTAATACGTATCAGTACTTTACATTTTTTGAAACATTTAGAAAAGTGTAGTAATCCTCTTCTATAACTGTCCCACTTTCATTTTCATCATCCATACTGCAATGTTAAAGTACTTGTTCACCCAAATCTCGTTCGCTCGTTCACTCAACACACCGTCCACAATCACCAGTCACAACTCCGTCCACAGCTTCCCCTTCTCCTTCACAATAGTTCACACCTCAAAAGTTCCACCGTCAGTGGTCATCCCTCACCGCCGTCGATTTCAACAGTAGTTCACATTCTCCTCCCTTCACGCTGGGCCCCACGCTTCTTCTTATGCTGAAATTGCTGATATTTAAAACAGCATGATTTCAGAGTTTCTTGCATATACACGTATTCGTACATACGAGCAACGAACATATCAAGAAGGCGCTGAAATTATCTCATCTGTCAAGCAATACTAGATCAGAAAAGGATCTAGAAGCGATACAATTGGCACAGACTTTCACGTACTATTTAATTTCCTTTCCTCTTTAGTCTGGACTAAATTTTCGTTTTCGCCCCTGCCTCCTCAGAGCTGCCATGTATTGGTCCCTAAAGAACATTTTTTTTTCACATTTCCCAATTTTTCTTCGGATCCCTAATAGTCGAATGGAAATGTGACTAGGAATATTACAAAAAGGGTCGAATACGCAAATTTCCATTGAAAATTTTCTTTGAATCCCTAATAGTTGAATTCAAATGTGACTTAAAGAATATTTCCGATGAGTAAAAACTGACCCAATATGAACATTTTCTTTAAAAAATTTGGAGTCGTTTTTACTTTCTTGCTACCGCTTACACAGTATCCCAGTGTAAGAAATAACGCCATATTGCTCTATTCTTTGTTTTTTTCAAAATTTACAAAACCATTTTTAATTTATCTCTCACGTTAATATTTACATTAACGGCAATTTCTTTACATTAATGTATTTATGAATACACATGCTTTAAAGAATGTCAGATAGTTTTCCGAAAACTCAATAGTTTTCCGTGAAAATGAGCTCAAAATTCCGCTAAAACGTTCACATGCCATTTTCTCAAAAACGGCATCATTTTTTTTCGAACTTTTCTAACAGATATGGCTAATTGCACTGTTTAAGATGACATAGAATCAATTTTGCTGCATTCATTTGTTTTCTTTCCAAAAATTACACAAATGTAATATTTTTGATAGATCTCTAACACCTTTAATATGCAGTAGTGTATTCTTAAGTTCTCGATCGGTCTCCTGCCAAGTGTGGGAGTGTAATGCATGCAAGTGTGTGTGTGTGAATAAGGATGAGGCTAGGACAAGGAAGAGGAAGAAAAGATCGCGCGCGGTCCGTGGCCTGTTTGTTAGGGTACTACTCCGGCATTCGCCTGGTGTTAATCGGAGAAACCACGGAAAACTACCGATCAGAGCAGCAGCCCGTTAATTCCTTCCAGACAGCGAAAGAACTCGACTTAGCAATCTACCTAGTGTCGAAAATTCTGCAACCGCCTGGCCTCGAACCTTAGACCTTCCGGTCAGAGGCACTGCAGTGACATCAATTGATGCCCTGAGCCACATCTTCCGGTCTCTTTCCAGTTAATAGACCAATTCCACAAATAAAACATATGATTCCAAAAGAAATTTCAACTAAGATGTTTATCATTCTTGCATCGATTTATTGCCATCCTCAGCTAATGGAGTTGCTTTTTCTGAAGGAATCGAATGATTCTTCAAAGTAAAAATTATTTCTGTAAAGCTTGGCACACAATTTAATTTTTAATAATGCCGTGAAATGACCAAAACTCTTCCAATTTTTAATAATGCGAACAACTTTTCAAATGAATAAAATACTTTGAGTAAGAAAAAAAAACTTTTATATATGCAGTGCGCAGGTATTCTAGGACCAAAGTAAACTATGCGTTTCATTTAGATGAAAAATACTTATGTTACAAAAACAATGTCTTGGTTGTATCGTTTTGAAGGTTTGCTTCTCATAACCCCCATGCTGCTTCATTTTGGCCTTCAGGGCACATGACCATGAAGCTCTCAATGTTTTATTTTTAATGATGCATAAATATATAGTCTTTGTATAGTAAGCCAAAAGAACTGAAAGAAAAAATTTAGATGGGAAATACCCATAACTCTTGTTACATACGAACACGCAACACGTCTATCAGCACCTGCAAGGGAACGAGTGCCGGTTCACCCAATGTTAAAAGGCGGGGGACTAAGTTTGTTTCCTCAGTCACGGACCTGGTGCAGATAGCGCAGCTGTTGCGTTTTGGCGCGCATTTTCAAAGTAAAGTTGTGCGAAATCCTGGTTGTGGTGCGTATGGTATGATTTACTACAAAGTATTAATTGAATTATTTGCAGAAGATGGGTAAATGTTCCGTAAGAGAGTGCTCAGCCTCTTAGAGGATGCCCTTTCATAAGCTCCCCAGAAATCAACTGATGCGTGAACGATGGTTGAAAAACATAAATCGCCAAGATTTTTTGGTAAATTGTATAAAATATTATAAAAGTTAATAAAATTGTATGTTCTAATAAAATTAATCAAATATACACACTTTGATGCAATTGGTGCAACAGAAACTAACTTCTACAGAAGAGATTTTTTTATTGTAGAAAATTTAGAATCTGCCCAATAAGTAGGGATCTGTAGACCATTAAATAATTTCTTGGTTACATATAACAATTTTTAATGAATATTTAACGTGAATACATAGATGAAAACGGGAAAAATAGTATAAATGTCTCATTATTTTGTAAATTCGTATTAGTAATAGGAAACAAAAATGAAAATTGGTCCAGTTTTCTAACTGTTGGAATGTTGATACTTGTTCAATTATTTGATAACAATTTGTTTAAATTAAAATCTTCAATTATCTTACGTCCTGACCTTGGAACACCATCATTTTGGATTTCTTCATGAATTGTATCTACAGAGAAACAACAAAAGAACAAAAAGTTGAATAGACTCAAGACAGGGCTGAAATTTATTAAGAGACAAGGAAGATTCCTAAAGACTCCTCCGAAACACAAACCATTGGGACAGGGTGATAAAGGAAACAGATGGAAAAGCAGGAAACTTCTAGAATATTAATATTATTCTTGTGATACTTGTCAGCTTAAACAGAAACATACCTCTTATCCTGCTGTAGATTATTATTATTATTATGATGATGATGAATTTCAATGCTAATTTTTGTTTTGTGAATATTAATTTATAGACATGTTTATAAATAAAATGATGTATCATTGTTGTGTTTATAAGTAGTGTAATTATAATATACGACTATGTTGAAAATTAGCATTATACAAAACTAACAGAATAATTCAATTTATGATGAACAAATAAACAAAACTGCCATTATTTCACTCAGTGTTTAGTGAATTACTCATTTATAAAATGATTTTAATTTAATTAATGGAAAATAAGACTTTAAAAATTAGAAATATTTACATATTGATTGTCTTACAATGAATGTATTGGAACCTATTCTAATTAACATTGACTTCAGATCATGTTAATTGATTAAATCCAAGTCTATTCGTAAATAACTACTACAAGTTATTTATTGTCATTTCATAAGCATTTTAATTTTAATGTATATTACATTGTATTTTTTTCTCGAAATTGTTCAATGATGTGAAAAGTTTATAAGAAATATATATATTCTTTATATAAACTGTGTAATTGATTTAAGTCTTTATCTGTATAACTTCTTTTTTCAAATATTTTCACATATTACAAATAATAAATATTAACTTAAGTCACTGATTTTTTGAAAAATTATCATTTGATTTAAATCATACCAGCCTTAATTTTTGATGACATCTTTTAGGTGAAAATAGAATTGTAATTTTGATACAATATTAATCATTGGTTCAGCAACTATTTCCTATAAACCATGAAATTAAGATTGCAAACCATCATATAAGACAGCACTTGAGAGGGACACCTATCACACTAGTTGATCTTGGCAGCCTTCTCAAGAAAACATTTAACTCGGCATGGTCTCCACATGAACCAGATATGAAAACAAAAACTAGGAGCCATGCTCATCTCGCACCTACTGCGTAACCCTGCCCCTGTTATCTCACACCATCTTCCCACCCATTCTTTCTGCCTCTCCATCCACAACCCTCTTACACACTCCGCATCTTTCACCACCATTCAGTCTTACTCTTACCCCCACCAGTTTCCTTTTCCTACTCCACACCTCTCTGCCCACTCCACATCCCTCACCTGCCCCCAGTTCTCCTTTACCTATGCCAGTTCCTACTCCTACACCTCTCCTGCCCACTTCCACTTCTTTCCAAACCATCTCCTAGCCTTTCTTCTCCTCTTCAGCCCTTCACCTACTTCCACACTTCCTACTCCCCGTCCCATTCTGTACATATAACTTCCGCTGCAACTTGAAAACCCACTCCTCGCTGAATAAACCGTTAGCATCAAAACATCCAGGAAAGCAGACAATACACAAAAATAAAAACATTATTTTCACATTCTTCAGTCACTGAAAAATATTAAACTCGACTGATATAGAATATTACTTGAGGAGAAACTCAACCACATTTCCAGTATTGTGCTTCACAGAACACTGGCTAACTAAAGATCAATTAGATAAACACATAAACTACCAGATTTCTCTCTAGCCATCAGGTCTATGTCGAAAATATTAACAACACGCACATTCATGCAACTATGGTGGGACATTGCATTTTCATTTAAAATACAATTAGTTTTGTACCCTACACAATATCACTCATCTTGTAAAAGAGAAAGACTTTTGAATACCCAGTTCCACGACTTTAACAACAATAAACACATGAGTCTTATGCACATATCGCAGCCCTGCGTGGAAATTTGAAAACCTTTTTAAAAAATCTGAAAGTTATTCTAAACAAACTTCAAAAACGCAGACAATATAAAACTATTCTTTGTGGCGACTTTCAATATAAATGCCTCAACACAATCCAAGTAATGAAAATCTATTTAAAGACCTACTAAGAATCATACAATTTTACAAAACAACCATAAATACACCAACACCAATTACCAAAAAATAGTAGCAGGCTATAGATCAAATATAATAACAGATGTAAATAACATTGTTTTTCTGTTGCTACATTTAACACAGGTCTTCCAGTGACCACACTGTCCAGATTCTAAACACTTCAAACAGAAACAAAAACCGCGGAAACCAGGACAAATTACAAATAATCCGTAACTATTCCAAGGAAACATTATAAAATTTGAAAACTTACTCAGAATTTGATAACTGGAATGAAGCTATATATAGCAATGATACAAATTATAAGTTTAACTCATTCATAAATATCTATACTTAAGACATTTCAATGTCATTTTCCCTCAAAAAACTCAAAAAGATCCCAAAATTAAGGAAAACTAAATGTCATGGATTACCACAGGCATCAAATGTCATGTGAAAGAAAGACGCAACATGTATAAATACTAACAAATAACAAATGTAACTCAAACTTCATTTCAATATACAAAATATATAATTCGATCCTAAAAA